CGCAGCCCGCCTCCCTCTGCCTCCTGAGCGCCGGCTCCTTCTCGAGGGCGGAACTGCTCCGAGCCGAGCGCCGCATCCTGAGCCGCCTGGACTTCCGGCTGCACCATCCCGGCCCGTTGCTCTGCCTGGGCCTGCTGGCCGCGCTGGCCGGGAGTCGCCCCCAGGTGCGCGAGGTGGGGTCGCGGGAGGCGGGCGGGGGGTGGGGGTGGCCTGAGGTTCACCCTGCCGTCCTGGCAGGTGGTGCTACTGGCCACCTACTTCTTGGAGCTGTCGTTGCTGGAGGCTGAGGCTGCGGAATGGGAGCCTGGTCGTCGAGCAGCTGCGGCTCTGAGCCTGGCACACCGTGTGCTCGACGGGGCGGACTCCAGGCCGGAGCCGGCGCTTTACAGGTACGGCCTGGTGTGTGCTGCTTCACGGAACCGCCCTTCCTGGTCGCCGACTTGACCATCTCGGAGGATGAGAGGCACCTAGACCTGATTTCTTGGGGTGTCTGCCTAGCCTAGAGGGTCCCATTCGCCTTTCCGGAGACAGGGGTAAGAGGATGGCCATGTCTGTGTGGACTTGGGGACTCTTAAGGAAGGTGAGGTATTCCAGGCTCCGAGGGCTGTGTTCCAGGTTTGAGGATGAGTTCCCCAGTTCCATAACTCTTTTCGGATGGGGGTCCCTTTAGCTGCTAGAGTAACCCTGTTAGCCGCACCGCTGGATAGCCAGGTGAATCATCTTTGCTCCCAGTTCGGGACTCCAGGATGGAGTGGATGTCTGCTGTCCTCGGTCCCACGCCTTCCCTTCCCGAGGGTCCAGCCCAGCCTCCCCCCCCCCCCCGGGGGGGAATCGGGTGTCTGCCCCCCTCAGTGCACTCGAGGCACGACCTCCAGAAGGTCCTCGAGCTCCCCCCATTCCACGGGTCTACTCTGCCTTGAGCCTCCAGGCCCTTCCCTGCCTTCTTTTTTCCATCTCCTGGCCGCAGCCCCGCGGAGCTGGACCCCCTGGAGCCGTGCATGGTCCGTGCTGCCCTCCGGGGCCCCGCTCCAGGCCGCGCCGCAGTCTTCCTCAAGTACGCGCGGCCCCAGCGCCAGGGCACCAGTCTCGCTGCCGCCCTCCTGCTCCGCCACCCCCAGCCTGGGCCTCCGTGAGCGCTGAGGGCCACTCAGAAAACAAGTTCTCATTGTGTGTCGTCTCCTACCCTAATGAAATAAAAGAGTTTCTTTTATTCTGAGCGCTCTCTGTCCTGGTTGGTTGGATTCCGTTCACCTCTCGCTTTTGATGGGTCGCTTCTTAGGCCTCTTTCCTTCTGATTGGATGTTCTTACCAAGTCCCTTAATGATTTCTGGAGGATAAGATGCAAATTCTGAACTCCTCCTCGAGGGGGCAGTGGCGGACTTCCGCAGCGCTGTTCAAACTAGCAGTGAGATTCCTTCAGCATTGGGAAGAAACTGCAAGGGGTGGGAACTGTGGAGAACTAGTGTCCGCCTCAGGCATGGGGGATATTACTTCGATGTTGCCAACTTTTCACATTTTATTCAAGTGAATCTGGAAATGTTCAATTTCAGTAACATCTCAGTGTTTATATGTTGTCAACTAATTCAATATTTTTAGTGGTTGTACAAGCCAAACATGTCACCTGTGTGGCCCTGTGAAGAGAGATCCCTGATAATAAGAGTTTAATAAGTGGTGTCGGATTTACTTAGTCCCTGAAGTGCCCCCGTGTCAGTAGGTGTAGCATAGCACCGACCTCGCCGTGGGGTGTGGTAAGGATGTGATTTAACAAATGGGGAAGGGCTTAGGACAAGGGTGACATTTATCAGCTGTTGCAGAAGGGTTAGTGTGGCACTCTAGCAGGACTGTGAGGTACAGTTGTCCCCTGTTCAGCTTGCTACTTAGTAGGTCATTTAGTAAAAAACTTTCGTTATGAGTCAATAGATTTCTGTATTTTTCATTAAAAATAATTTGAAATAAAAATAATTCAAACACACCCAAGGCACAGAAAGGTGAGTGCACTGCTAGAAAATTCAAACTCAGGAATTTGAGCCTCCAAACCACCCAGGAGTTTTCAAGGTCAGACCCAGGGGCGGGGGGGAGACTCATTCTGCAAAAGCACTTTCCGGCAAAGCACAAGGTTCAGATGCAGATGCTGTTGGGATGGAAGGTGCTGGGTTCAGGTTCTGGCCTGCTGAGTCAGACCTGACTTGGAACCTCCAAGGAGAGGATGTGCCATGGAGGTGGGGGTGGGGATGGGGTCTGGAGACACAGGCTTGCTGCTTGTGGCCGAGACTCAAGTCAGGGTTGGGTTTGGGGGTAGGGAAAGGAGTAAAGCTCTTCACTACTTTCTTATTCAATGATTATATATAGATCCCGACTCAGAGCCAGGCTTTTGTGATCAAATAACTCTGAGTCTGATGGATGGTATGAAATCACCCATTAAAGCACCAGGCCCTGTGCTAAGTGCTTGGTTCATATAGTATACTTCAGTTCCTACCTCCCTCAGAGGTAGGCAAGGAAGTCAAAGTGCAGCAGGAGCAAGGAATCTGGCCATGATCCCACAGTGAAGGAGGCAGCTGAGGAGGATCGAAGGGCAGTCACCTCACTCACCCTCATCTCCCTCTCGTCTCCAAAGCCTCCCACATGTTTCTTTCTTTGAATATTCATTCATTATTGGGCTGCTTCCTCCGCAGTGTCCCTTGGGACTTGTGCGCTTCCCCATTGGCTTTCCCTTGAAGATGTGAGCTTGGTGAGGGCAAGAAACTTCTCTCTTGGTAGTAGAGTTACCCTCCTCTTGGAACCCATCACTCCCCACCTCAGCCTAGCACAGGGCCCCATTAGGCCCTCACAGCCTGTCATGTCCCTAACCCAGAACTCTCTGCCTGTATTTCCCAGGCGAGCCCACTTCGGGGTGTCACTGTTTGGTCACTGGTCTGTCTTCCCCCTGGATTGGAGGGCTCATCGAAGGTAGAGTCCAAAAGCCTCTCAGTCTTTATTGTGACCCAGACTCATCCAGAAGAGAGCTGGGCACAGAGGAAGTATTGGTTCAAAGTTGTTTTGTGGCATAAATACACGAACGAATTCCCAAGTCGATATTCCCAAGTCACCCATGTTACTGGCTGTGGAGTTCTAGGTCGGGTAAGTGAACTGCCCAGGTATCTAGTGAGACTATAAGAACAGGTTTGAATCTGGGCAGCTTGAGTCCATATCTTGTATTCTTATCCAAATGTCAAATGGCAGTGGGCTGAAAACCACCTTTCTACGAAGTTGATATCTTCCAATTCTTTCCCTCAAGCTCATCCTTTTCTTCTAGAAATCTTCGGGAGCTTTGGACGTGGAGGGGGAGAGCAGGCAGGAGGGTGGGGAGGGGAAGAGGAGTGGGAACAAGGGAGAGGCGGCTGGAGAGCTAGGGCCCGGGCTGATTGGAATGGGAGCTTGAAAAGTCTGGAGGGGATTCTCTAGACCCATAGGGGGCAGCCGGAATCGGCAGCCGGAGGTGCGGGGGCGGAGAAAGGGTGGGGACCGGCCCCGCGGGGGGCGATGCAGTAGCTGCAGCGGCGGCCGCAGGAGTTTCCCACAATGCAGCGCGGCGCGCTGTCCCCGGTGCTGATGCTCAGCGCTGCCCCGGAGCCTCCGCCGCGCCCGCCTCCCGCCCTCCCCCCGCCCGGCCCAGGCCCCCGCCATGGCTCGGCTCGGCCAGGTCCTGCCCCAGAGCCGTCGGGGGGCCTGGCTGCGGCGCTCGACAGCAGCCTGCGGGCCGCCGTGGCGTTCAAGGCGGAGGGCCAGCGCTGCTACCGAGAGAAGAAGTTCCGGGAAGCCATCGGCAAGTATCACCGGGCACTGCTGCAGCTGAAGGCGGCGCAGGGGGCCCGCCCTGGAGGCCTGCCCGCCCCCGCCCCCGCCCCCGGGCCTGCCACCAGCCCGGTGCCAGCCCACCTCAGCGAGGAGCAGCGGCGCCTGGTGGAGAGCACGGAGGTGGAATGTTATGACTCTCTCACTGGTACGGGCCGTCGGGGGGCGCAGAGGGGCACGAGGGTGAGACAGGTGGGGAGTGAAGGGCAATCAAGAGCCCTTGGGGACTGGGGCGCGGGGGGGACACTGGGGGCGGAAGGCGCCAGGGTTGTGTCTGTCAGGGAACTTGATTAAGGAAAGGGTTGAGTCAGGTGGCCAGGAGCCTCAGGAAGGAGGGCACTGGGATGCAGGAAATGGACTTTGGGATGGGCCTTCAGAACCCCACTGCTCTTGAGTCATTCTTTCCACCTCATGCCACAAGCAAACCTATAGTGAGAAGGGCTTACCCTGGATGATTCTCTGTGATTGCCCTGAATATTCTTACTTGCCGAAACCTCCCGTCTATTTGCTGAGACAGCATCTCTGTGTCTTTTGCGCCCTCTAGCGGCGGCGCAGATTGAGTCTATTCTGATGGGGTAGCACATTGGCGCCCCCTGGTGGCCCGAGTAATCGCTTCGGTGGTGGGGAAGGTGCCAGGTTCCCTAACGATCCGGAGGTCTGGCCCCTGGAGGTCACGTGGGTCTTAGGGGTGCTGGCAGGCTCTCTGAGTACCTGCGCTCCGTAGCTTGCCTACTGCAGTCGGAGCTGGTGAACTACGAACGCGTGCGCGAGTACTGTCTAAAGGTGCTGGAGAAGCAGCAGGGCAACTTCAAGGCCACCTACCGCGCCGGCATTGCTTTCTACCACCTGGGTGACTACACACGCGCGCTGCGCTACCTGCAGGAGGCCCGCAGCCGAGAGCCCACAGGTAAGGGGCGGGGCCGCACAGCGGAACGGGCTAGAGCGGAGGGAACAAGGGTGGGAGGAGCAGGCAGAGTAGAGGCCTCCTTCCAAGAGCGGCCCTAAGGGAGTGCTGTGCCACCCACTGGATAGTCTTGCCCCATCCACCTATTCCTTACACATCACCCCCCCATTCATTCACCCCTTCCAGTCACCATGCAGACGTCCACTCACCTCCATCTACCCCAACAATTCTCATCTAGTCCTTGACTCATCCTCCCTGTCCAGCCCCTTCCAGGTCTATCCACCCATCCTCGCCTCCATTACACCCAGCCCCTACCCTCATTCCTCCATTCATTCACTAAGCTTTCACACACTCATCTACTCATTCACCTCTCAGTCACCCACTCATCTAGCCAAGGCAGATACCAGGAAGCCGTCTGAGCATGTGTGTGTGTGTGTGTGTTGAGATTTGGGTGGCAGAGCTGAAGGGTTGTTCTATGTTCTTTGGGAGATAATGAGGCGCACTCGTGTGTCCACGGGCACACAGCCTGACCTAGCACTCGGTTTTGTATCACGTCCCGGGGAGGAGCAAAGAAGGGTCACAGCGGGTACATGGGGCAGGTGGGAGCAGAGACAAGATTAGCTCTTCTGTGAAGAGGTTTGGTGAGAACAGATTTCTCACAGATGTCACTGGGGGCTGAGTGGAAGCGCGGCAGGAGTCTGCGCAGAGGTCTCCTGGCAGAGGGCGCAGCACGTTCACTCCATGAAGGTGTGAAATGTCTTTGGCTGCTGGTGGCAGCTGAGCATCTGGGGAAGGGGAGGCGATTCACTCTATGGGGAGGGGAGCCACTGGGGCTGGCACGGCGCAGGGTAGCTGCAGATGTCACAGGCAGCCTGAGGACACCCAGATGATGGCCTGCCCACCTCCCCTGCAGACACCAATGTCCTCCGCTACATCCAGCTGACCCAGCTGAAGATGAGCCGCTGCAGCCTCCATCGGGAAGACAGTGGGGCTGGGGCCCAGGCTCGGGATGTGGTGGGCTGAGGCAAGGGGCCACCTGCTCCCACCCTCCTGCCTCGCCATGGAACTTCCTCCACTCATGTTTGCTGATAAAGCCTTCATCTCTGGTGACCATAACCTCTTTGTGTGGTGCTTTTGTGGGGACCAGCAAGGGGATATGAGATGGGGTCTCATCCCTTGACCCTTAGAAGCTCAGGGAGGCCTGTGGGGTAGAGGAGTCTCCCCGTGGGGGACAAGCCAGCATCAGGGCTGACTTGGGAAAGATACAGCCAAGCGAGGTAGGGGGCAGGGGTTACTTTTAATGCTTTTGTGCCAAATCCCCCATGATGCCCTGTCCCTGAGTATCCCTGCCCACCCTCCCCCCACTGCAGGGTGGGCACAGGGCTCCACCCCTGGGGTACAAAGGAATAAATTAAGATCCCCTCCCTCCCTCCTTCCCCAATAAATAGTGAGCATTCTGCCCAGGGCCTCTGCGCCTTGGGGCATGGCAGGCCGGGGTGGGGCCTGGGGCACTACATTCATGGCTGCCCAGGCGGGTGGTGGTGGGCAGGCCTCAGTGGGAGCCATGGGCCCCACACAGGGGCACTGTGTTGTCCTGGCTCTGCCCCTCCATGTCCATGTCCAGCAGTGTGGGCTGCACACTGGGGGGGCCTGGGCTCTCTGGAGTGTCTGGCCTGCTAGGAGGCGATATGCTGAACGTCCGGCCGAAGGAGACCAGTTTCCAGGGGTCCAGGCGGGGGCGGCTGCCAGCCGGCCGGGGTCTTGGGGCGAAGGTCAGGGTAGTGGGGCGGCCAGGGAAGTCAGGGGGCCGGCGGCGGGTAGGGAACAGGGCCTGGGGGTCAGGCAGGCGAGGGAAGTCCAGGGGGTCTCGAGGGCCTGGGGAAAGAGGAGCAGAGAAGGTGAGCAGGGTGGGACAAAGGGTGGGATTTCAAAGCCACGGACATTTACATGAAAAGTGCAGTTTCTGGGTTCTCTTGGCCCACTTTCCAGCAAGACAAGGGCACCTGCAGCCCCTCAGCAGTTGGACCTTGATCTTAGTTCCCATCACTCCCGGTGGCTCACTCAGCTGGGGGCGACTTGGGTTGTCCCTTAGCCTTTTGGAGTTGGCTTTTAGTGCCTCTATGACAAACTCCTGTCCCTGCTACACTGGGATGGGTTCAGGCATGACACTGTCTCTGAGTGGGGACCAAACAGCACCTCAATGCCTGGCACAGGCTGAAGTAAAACAGTAACTAAAACAAGCACACAGCGCCTGGTGGGGGTTCTCAATTCCTACCCTCATAATCACTTATGGGGTTGTAAGAGAACAGAGTGCAAGGCTGGGCAGAGTTGGCTGTAGCTGTTGCTGTAGTTGTAGTCACCCGCCAGGCGCTGGCAGGTATTAGTTTGCCACCCCTAATTCCTCCTCGGGTTGGGACGCAGCTGCTCCCTTCCCGGTGCTAGGCAGGAAGCTGAGCGGGGGCAGGGCAGAAGGGCAGGTTTCGTCGCCTTGCCCTGCTCTGCCCTGCATGTGCGGTGCTCACTCACCAGGGCCGTGGCCCGCCGGCTCGGGCGGCCCCCGCTGCCCCAGCGCCCCGTCTGATGGCGTCCGCCGATGTCCTCGGCTCACAGCGCGTGTCGCTGTGACATGGGTGGGCGTGAGCGACTGGCGGGGGTCCTTCTTGAAACTCTCGAGCTCCAGGTCCACCAGGGGGTTGGTGCTGGGGGAGGCCGCGGAGGATGGCGAAGGCGGGGAGGGCGCAGCCTCGTCGCTGTCAGAGCGCAGCAGCGAACGAGTGGAGTTGCAGTCAGACACCGACGAGAGCGACACGAGGGTGGCCGAGGGCGCCAGGCCCAGGCCAGGGCCCGCGTCGTCGCGGCGGCTCTGAAGGCGCCCAGGTGGGCTGAGGCCCCGCGGGAAGCGGCCGGCGCGGGGAAAGAAGAGGCCGTCCAGCCAGCGCCGCTGCTCCTCACCGTCGGCCGCCCGCGCCTCTGCCACGTCGGCGCCCAGGCCCACGGCGCTCAGCAGCGTGGCGCAGCCCAACAGCGCAAGGTCGCAGCGCCGCCGCCCGTGGCCCAGCCGAGAGGAGGGCATGGCCGGTGCTGGCTCCCAAAGCGCCTGCGCCCCCGGGGAGGGCTCGGTGGGCAGCGGCACCGTGAGGTAGGACGCGGTGCTGTACGGGGAAGGGGGCACGCTGCTGCCTCCGTCCACCTCCGCGAACTCCTCTGCAACCGAAGAGGAGTGTCACTGGCTGCAGGTCTGGGCCCTGGCCCGCAGCCCTCAGGGACTTGATGGCAAGGCACTGACCCAGTGACCCCTCCAACAGCAAGATCCCCAAGTGCCACTTGGCATCTTTGTTGAATCTTTCTTCTTGTCCTGGGAATGACCCCCACCCCAGGGGCGAGCCATCCACCTTTCCAGAAATGCCTCCTGCCCACCGCCCAGGTGAAATCCTGTCCCTGTCCCAGCCCCGGGAATGGCTCACCCCTTTGCCCTGGGTTATGTTCCCCTTTGGCCAGAGCCTCTCCTCTCTCCTCCTGGCTACAAGCACCCACAACCTCTTACCCATCTCATTGAGGCTGGCGAAGCCGGGGGCGATGGGGGTGTGTTTGGGGGATTTGCCTAGGTTGGGGGCACTTGAGGACCACTGTTTGCTTCCTTCCCCCAGGGCCTTGAGCCTGCAGGGAGCGAAGGGAGATGTCAGCCCCGTGGCTGCCCTGGGGGCGGGCAGGCACGGGGCAGGTGGGCACCACCCCAGTACCTCTCTTCTCCTCCAGCCCGCTCCTTCTGCAGAGTGGAGCTGGGCCCCCAAGTCCGGCCCTTCTTCTTGCCCCCAACCAGTTCTTCCTTCTTTGGGGGCCCACTTCGGCCCCATGTCCCACTGCCACCACTGCTGCTGCCACTGCTACTGCCACCACCACAGTCCACAGGAGTCACTGGGTGAGAGAAGCCACTTGGTTACTGGGTAGTGGCTGGATTAGCTCCAGTCTGAGGCACCCTCTCCTTGGGTCAAGGGGGTCTTTCCAATTTCAGTCATGACCTGTCCCTCCCTAGCTCCTGCTATCAGGACACAGCTCCAGCACTTGGCATTCCCTGCCCTCAATACGCCCTTCCTGGATGACTCCCTCAGCCAGCTCACAACCTAAGTCTTCAGTGGTTCCCTAACTTTCCAGCCCGAGTTATCAGTTCCCTAAAGACTTGTCCTCTTCTCTGTTCCCACCACACTCAGGATGTACTGGTGCTGGCTACCAATGTATGGTTATTTGTCTCTGTGTCCCCTGCTAGTGTGACAGCTGGGGCTGACGCTGGGGTACATGGTGGGGGGACAGACTCAGGAGTCAGCTGTGCGCCCTTAAACACAAGCACACTCCTGCAGCTGCCTCTCTACCATGTGGCCCCAACTGTAACCATCTCTGCCTTCTGAGGCCCCTGGTCTCCCTGGCCTGCCCTGCCTTGTTTTCTTCACAGCAGCCAGAGGGAAGAGGAAAATCTGATCACAGCGCTGCCTGGCTCATAGCCCCATAGGCCCTTCCTGATGGTGTTTAAAATAAAAACCATTAGAACTGGAGTGGCAGGGGGGCTGGGGATTTAGCTCAGTGGTTCCGCCGCCTGCCTCAAAAGTGCAAGGACCTGAATTCCATCCCCGGTACCAAAAAAAAGAAGTTCCTGGAAGTGTTACATTGTGCAAGGAAGTAAAGGATTGCCCCCGCTGGACGTGGTGGACATGGTGAGGCCAGAGGATAGAAAATTTGGGCCCAGCCAGGACAATTTAGAAAATAAAAAAGGGCTGGGGCATAATGGTGCATGCGTGAAATCCCACCACTTGGGAGGCTGAGGCAGGAGGAGCACTGCAAGTTAGCCTGGGCTACAGAGTGAGTTCAAGGCCACCCCGGACTATATAAGGTATCTCAAAAAATAAAAATAAAAAAAATTTTTAAAGGGTGAGGATACAGGTCAGTGCAAAGGCATTGGGTTCAATAGGAGGAGTATCAAGAGGAGGTGGACCAGGGCGATGATCACCTTCACCACCACGGGTGGGCATCACCCAATCCCTTGATGGCTTAGACATAACAAGGAGGTGGAAGATGGTGATCTTGCTCTCTGCTTGACAGGGACCATCTGTCTTCTGTCCTTGGACATCAGAGCAGCTGGGTCTCAGGCCTTGGGACTTGGATTAAAGTACAGCAGCTTTCCCAGGCCTCTAGCTTGCAGATGGCAGATTGTGGGACTTCCCAGGCTCTGTAATCACATGAGCCAAGCCCTCATAATAATTCTCTTCACATATATCTCTATATATTGTATTGATTCCATTCTCCAAAGAACCCTGACACATCTCTCTTTCTCTTTTTTTGTGGTGTTGGGGATTGAGTCCAGGGCCTCCTGCATACAAGTGTGGGCTTTATCACCAAGCTACACCCCTTTCCCCACCCCAACATCTCCCTTTCTCTCTCATTTTTTTCCCCCCAGTGCTGGGGACTGAACCCGGAGCCTCAGGGATGCTAGACATGGACTCTACTACTCCAGCCTTTTGTTCCTTCCCTGATCATTACTGGAAGTTAGCCTGCCTATTAACTTTGTTATCTGTTTCCCTATCTGGCCTTGCCTGTTTTATTCCTCGGCCAGTATATTCTCAGATGTTTGCTGACTGGCTGACTGACAAAGACCTTGGAGATACTCACGGCGTATGGCCCTCAGCCTTGGGATGATGCTGGGGCTGGCAGGGGGGCTGGCACCATCGGATCCTTTTCGTTTGTCTAGGGTCGGAGAGGCCTGGACCGTGATCTTATGCTCAAAGCCTGGAAAAAGGAAGAGACTTTTCTGAGCAAATGGTTCCATGGTCCATGGTAGAAGTAAAGGAAGAATGACAGTATGGGAATGGCACATTCGTCATTCCTTAATGCAGTGGTTCTCAAAGTGTGGTCTCCAGACTAGCAGCATCAACACCGGCCAGCAGAAACACATCTGCATGCCTGTGATCCCAGCACTCTGGGAGTCTGAGGCAGGAAGATTACAAATTCAAGCCAGCCTGGGCAACTCAGCAACTTAGTGAAAAACTCTCTCAAAATAAAAAATAGAAAAAAGGGGCTATGTATGTAGCTCAGTGCAAAGGGCCTAAGTTCAACCCCCAGTTTCAAAA